CTTCTTAATTTTTTCGGGTTGAAGTGGGAGTCCGTAGACGAGCTCCATAGCGGCCTCCTCTTCCGACTCCCATATGTAAATGGTTGTATCGCATGAATATGGGATATGTTGGGCTTTTGTAATCCGTACAAGTAATGATCATATCACGAAGATTTTCACTCATTAACTCGAAGCCGCCGATAATCATACCGAAATCAAATCACAGCTCAGTCGTGCTTCACAATACTGACGCCCTGGAATGGCCACGATAGCAGCAAATTACATAGGGAATCTAGGTGTCAGGCGTAATACGGTAAGGTTGAAAGCATATACCGGTAAGTTGAAAGGCAGGATGTCAGTGGCTAGAAGCGTCAAGGTGGAAACATTCTGAAGCGGTATAGAAGCACTATTGCTCTCACTGCAAAAACTGCTGCCGTTGCTCAAAATGCCTCTATCAGATAAAGTCTAATTTGAGAGTGATTGCACTCTCTCTAGCCTTGCCGACCCTGGTGCATGCCGGAGTACGGCCAGAATCGCTTGAGTCCCATACGCCTCTTATTCATCTCCATTCGGGAAACTGAATAAACTTCATGAAACAGATTACAATTGTGTCATTCCAGATATTCTGGTTAGTGAATCTGAGCTCTTTGATCAAATGGCGTGATCTCCCACATCTTCCTCTTCCGCTGGCCTTATCTTACTCTTTAGCTGTCTGTTTTGATCTGTTACCCCTATTTGCCTGGAGTATGTATTTTACGACAAGGTGGGACATTTTAATTTTGTTACTTTTTCAATTGACTTTCCTGAAGGTAATGGTAACTGGTTGCCTCGAAATTACTATGAGCTCCTCTAGAAGCGCACCACTATCAAGATGGCGGTCATTACTGATTTGACTCATCCTCATTCTCATTCTCACAATTGCAGATCATTTAAAAATGGCCAATTCGTTTTTTACATGATGGATTTCGTTCCGACATTGATAGTGTTTGTCTCTACTATGTGTTTATGCGACCTATGCGAAGTGAATCGGGCATCAGTAAGTTAATGTCTTGTATTTCTTTCAATTTTATATATCATATATATAATTTTATGTGAATTAACCTATTTTGCAAAATATTTCCCCTCCCTTACTCGTTAGTTGCGCTATCAATTTCCGTTTTCTAGACATGGTCGAATTTCTCACGAAAGATTACCTTGATCCTACCATATGTTTGGCCAAAGAAAAGCGGGTTCCTGCTAACAGTTGGCGAGTACTCTCTGTTTGTTCCTTCTGCTATTCGGACGTCTCATCAATGTCGCCCTTCCTCTATACAGCAAATGGATTGGTTTGTTATGATTCTGATTCTTCTACGGTTACTTAGTCAAAATTAGAGTACAACAGTTGGGCACGATTGAGAGTCAGTATCTAGAATCTACCAATAAAAACTAAAAAAAAATAGCTGGAACTTAGCCTCTGCTATTAGACTGGAAAGAAAGTCTATGTTTTTTGAACTGCTTGCAGCTTTTGATTCTCGATGCTTCCACATGATGTAACCTGATACAGTTGTAGAACATTTCCGAGGCTTTTCCGCAAGAGGTATATGAAGGCGCTTACTCTTCCGTTTTATACGAAGTTAATTTCACAGGAACAGCTTCGAGTCATCATCTTCTATGAGGTTCCTCCATACTAGAGCGACGGCAGCTGTCTGCAACATAAACAATGCATTGCCGGAGGACACCGCTACCATCAGGACTGCCTACCGCTGGTTCGCTGGCTTCGCAAAAGAGCAGCGATTCTTATCGAAACAAACCTCGGTCGGGACGCCCTCACGAAGTTGTAGACTCCACCGTTCTCGAAGCTGTCAAAGAGGATCCGGAGGCTAGTGCGCGCAGCCTTGCGACAAGACTTGGATGTGCCTAACTGGCAGTCGTCAATCACCTTTTGGCTGCGATGGATACACTTGGATACATTGACGGATGGCTCGCGGTGCACCCGGGTACCCATCTAGTCTCCTCTTCACCGCCTTCGTCAGAAGAAGTTTCTGGGAAGCTGGTCAGTTGGAGATGGGTCCTCTGTGATCCCAATTAATACAATACCATATGACTGTCTCGACAAGAGAGCACCCTTAACAAGCCACATGGCATGCACTCCAAGAGTGTCCTCCTGTGCTGCTTCTGACGCGAGAGGGACGCTACAACGAGCTGCCCTGTGAGAACACACGGTTGCTGCTAGCATTCACGCCCCTTGAGGTCCAGAACCCGTGGAACTGTTGGAGATAAATGAATGCGACTAGCTTTGTGGCACCTCTTTCGTGACACGAGACCAGTGCTGCTATGGAGACTTACCAAATAATCGAGGAGCAAGGCTGGGAGACCAGACCTCGCTCACCATATTCTTCTGGCATGGGACCCTACTATTACCAAGTGTCCGCCCCTTGAGGCTTCCTGAGGTGAGAGAACTGTCAGCAACTTGATGACATCGATCGAGGGGTCGCTGACTTACTCGACTCAGCCTCCCCAGCTTTGGGAGAAGGGGAATGCTGACCTGCCCATTAGGTGGGCACTGTAGTGGCTAACAATGGTGAGTATATTGTTGATTGAATGCCTATTGCTTGTTGGATTAGAAAATAAAAAATAAAAATCAGAACAGTGAGAAGACTTGCTATCCAGTCTACTAGATAGTAGCTCGTCCTCCTAATAGATGATGGTAGCTACCGCGGGTTGGCATGGGCCTAAAGAATGCTAATGGGCCCAACTATTCAGCTTGCGCTGGATTTCTTCCAAATTTTCACTTTTTGAATGTAGTACACCCTCCACAATCGCCTATCGGATCTGCTGACACATTTGAGGTTTAGCCTCAGTTTATCGCGAAATGTACCTTGAAGTACATCATACTTTGACTTACTCTAATGAAACCACCAATTTTGCGAAGTAATGAGTCGTTGTTTAGTGGATGGACTTGCGCAGCCGGAAACATTTCACTACTCTCTTATCTATATTTCTGCACTTTTAAAATTCCTCCAGGGCAATGGAGGTATGGTAACTTTGCACGTATTCCTTTTGGTCCTGTTTCTTATTAATTGACTTTTTCATGACTGTCTTTTTAATATTCTGTGCAGTTACCTTCCCAAAATTTCAGCCATGGGTGGTTTCCTGAACACTATGCGCTCCTATTTATGGATTCCTATACAGCAGTACACGACTAGGGAATTGGAGGTTAGATCTAATCTGAGAATTTTATGTCATTTGCTATTTTAACGTCAATCTAAGCACGTTCTGCTTTTTATCATAGAAGCAGAAGTTTTAGCAGTAGTTTTTTAATTGCTTCAAAATGGTCTTTTATTTTTGAGAAGAGTGGAAACATGCGCGACGCTAAGCCCAGCGGATGGAGACTGTATCTCCCAGGGTTTTTCTTGTTTGTGTACATTGTCAGATGGATTACTTTTGTAGAAGAGAAATGGCCGAAATAAGTTCTTTTCAGGTGGAGCTGTTCGCACATCTGCACTCTCTTTCTCTCCGATGGCATCTTTCTCGGAAAACCGGTCTTGTTCTTCGAGTCATGGACAGAGGTACCAGCTCAGTGAACAGCATTCTGAAGTAAGCTCTTCAGAACTGAGACTATTACCATTTCTGTACCGTATTTAAAGGCAGTTGGCACGATAAATCTCCCAAGGCGACTAGGATCAATACTCCTGGCAGGATAGAATTCCGCGACCCTGGGCAGGCGCTGCATAGCGGTTTCCCCGAGGAAGGTGCCCTTATAAGGGCCCTATCAAGCCACAACTTTACGTCCCAAACGCCCGCCCACAAATGGACGACCGTTCCTGACGCTCGTATTCATTCATTTGCTAAGCAAATTATGAAGCGAAGGGATTGGTATGAAGCGGCCGTGATGCTGCATGCATACATGGGTACACATATGCAGCCGTATCTTCGGTAGCGGTGATTGGTAAGATGCCTACGGGAAACTCGTCCGAAATCGATTTACAAGTCACTGAGAACGGAGGCTTTTTCTTCGCAGGATTTTGACCGTTTCACTCCGTTCTTTCGCCATTTCCCCACTATACAGCGCCCTACTAGCATTTTAGGCTAAGTAGGAAACCATCGTGCCAACTGCCTTTAAGTACCTTCTTTTACGTTCAGAGTGAATATGTATCCACTCTGAACGCTGGTGCAGCGTTTTCATTCACTTGTCTTTTTTGGTGATATCCGACTCATCGCTATTGTGAACCGTATCATTTTAGTTGCTTTTCAGCTATATATTGTTCAACATCGTGCCAACAATCGCGGATATTGTAATAGCTGTGGTTTTTTTCTTCTCGACATTCAATTTCTATTTCGGTGGAATAGTACTGGTGACGATGATTCTATACCTCAGTAAGGTTTCATACTTCCCCGGTGTTACGATTTTCTACATAAAGTGTTCCAAGCGATAGGCTATGGTAGCATAATGACGCTGTGTTTCGAAGGCGGCGTCCAGATGTTCTAAACTTCTCTTTGTTTGAGATCGATGTGTTGGTGTTGACAGAGCTCATCATCTTTATGGGACCTATAACGGGGATCGTGTTTGTGCTGCGGGGACAGTGGTGTAATTTAATTTCATTTCAAATGCACCTCAAGAAAATGACTTTTAATACTTGATTCTACCCGCCCATGCGCGCTTTGTCTCCGTGTCTTTGTCTGTCATCTCGCTCGACTGCAAAATTTAGGGAAAATTTATTATAGTAATAAAGCGGGACGTATTTAGCAGCAATCATCCCGAATGCGATTATGTGCCTTACGTGTAGGACAAGTGGGGAAGGTCATGTGCTTGAAATTTTGTAGCCTTAGCTTGGGGGCCTCCTGAGATGCGTTGAAAATGGTGATCCAGATCGGAAGGGAAGGGATCGCATTTGGTCAGGGTGAATATTTCTCATTGTTGATCTCCCGGCGACGCCACAAGCTATTATTTCTGATGGTTTATGGGAGGTGTCTGGTGATTCGTTTAGTCGGCAGTGGAAGGGGTATCATCTGAGAAGCAACCGGGTATTTAGCATTTCAAAGAATTCGCTCCCAGGTTTTGGGCCGCAAATAGTCGAACTTTGTTGGGTTACGATATTTCAGTCTCACTTTTTTGTGTTTATTTTTAGCTATGACAATATATGTAACGGAATGGCGTACGAAATTCCGTCGGGACATGAATGAAAAGGAGAATGCCAGCAGTGCCATCGCAACGGATTCGTTGTTGAACTACGAGACGGTAAAATACTACGGCAATGAAGTATATGAAGTGGATCGTTTCCGAGTCGCCATCGAAAAGTTCGTTTCTTTGTTGTATGGGCTCTGGCCTTCTTACTAGGATTTTGTTTCAGCTTTCAGTTGGCAGAATGGCGATCTAATGCATCATTGGCATTGCTGAACTTCCTACAGAACGGCACAATTGGTCTCGGAATGACAGCCGGTTCTGTACTTGTCGCTTATTTGGTCACCGTTGACCACGAATTGACAGTAGGTTTTCGACAAGTTTTGGTTTTTGGCAAATGCTGCCCTGATAGCTTTTGGAGGAATCCTGACCTTTGTCTCACTATATGCTTATAGGTAGGAGATTACGTTTTATTCACTACATACATTCTTCAATTGTATTCTCCACTGAACTTTTTTGGGACAGTGTACAGGTTGGTTTTTCTTCAGTCGTCTTTCTAGTCTTATACATGTTTCTAAATAGTCCGAAGAATTTTGGTTAAGGACAATTCAAAAGTCTTTCATTGATATGGAGAATATGTTTGATTTAATGAACGAAGAAGTCGATGTGGGTTTCTCTCCGCTGCACACACTTTTTTTGCTTCTTCTTGCTTCTGTTAGCTGTAGTTTCTGGTCCTCGGCGGGTCTGACGCCTACGTTATGTTTCCAGCGTTCGTAATGTTTTTCTATATGCCTTACACTCCTTATCCCTGACAATGAGAAGGAGTAGGCGTGGCTTTTGAGCATGGCATAGGACGGGTTTCTCGTGGGATACTTCAATTTGAAACAACTACTATTTTGTTCTGTGTTAGATGTAGACATGATTACGATTGCTCCAAAATGACAATATCTCACGAAATTCTGGGCCCCGCTGTGTACGCAGCCACGCCTACCCGATCTCAGGGAGTTTCGGGTGTAGGTTGGGACTCCCACGAGAAGTCACGGCTGCCAGGTTTCGATTCGCGAAAACTATGTAAACGAAGCGGTTTTATACTAGTTGAACATCGGACCCTTTCGTTCACAACTTTCACACCCGCAAATAATAAACTAGACCGATGTAAATGTAACGGATGGTTGCAAGTGCCGCGCGGTCCGCCTCTCCTCGCCGCGCTGCGGCGGCAGGCTGACCCTTGGTGGAGTCCTAACCGTTGCCCTAGGGATTTCTAGTATAACACTTTTAAATCCAGTACGCAGCCACGCCTACCCGATCTCAGGGATTTCTAGTATACACTATAGCGCTTTTGTAAGAATTTGGCCTTGTACCGCTTTCGTTCGAAACCTTATGTTTGGCCACTACTTAAGTGTGACTCATAGCTTAGTGTTCTTACCGCAGTACGCGCTCCGGCAATTTTCATAAGACTACTGAGGTATGGGCAAAGGTGTTGAGTCAGGACTGGCACCCACATCTCATGCTTTTTGCACGAGCGCTCTGTCAATTACACCACCAGGACCGTCTCTTACCCTACTTTATACTGTAGCCTTATATTTTAGTTACGAACTGAGCAATGATTAGCTTTAGGTACGAGATAGTCCAAATGCAGTTGAATACCATCCGACTAGTGGACAGATTATGGTGAAGGGGCTCACATTTGCCTACAACGAAAACAGAGTTGTACTGAACGACATCTCGTTCGAAGTGGGCAGTGGACAGTCTATCGCATTCGTGAGTTCTCCTATCTGATACTGATTTCTTAATAATGGCGCAGTTAGGTTCGGAGGTGGCGCTGAATATATTCAGCGAAGCCTGTATAAGCCACCTTGTGAAGACCAGTGAACTCCTGTTACCAAAGTGGGTCACTCGAACAATGTCGCAGGTTCACAGGAGTTTACTATTGTGACCAAAATGAGACCTGTTAGATAACATGACGATGATGATAACACGAACCAAAGGAACTACTAACCAGGGAAGGTCGCCAACTTACCATGGAACTTTGAATGGAGACCTGGGTGGATCGATAGAGTCTATAAGGTTATTAACAAATATAGATAGCAAAACTGCAACGTG